TCTGAGTCCTTGGATTAACAGCCTGGTCTTCAGGTACAGACAATTCAGTGTCCAGTTCATCAATGTATATGGGCTGTTACATTTTTGTCCTGGGATAGTTATGAAAGCTGCTACATCAAATCTGATTTCATCATTATGTAAAATTAATTTACTGAGTTTTACTATGTCCACTCCGCACACATGATCTAAAAGATGATTGTTTCCATTACAAAAATACCTTCTCTTTGTAGATACTTCCCCCTGAGGTGTATTGCCATGGGTTGGAAAAAATAAAATGACCACCAAAAAAAATCTGACTTTTTTTAACCTTTGTGTAGACATTTTAAATCAGATGCCCCTTTAAATCAAAACTAGGCTAATGCATTTCAGATGGGAGTTTATCATTAACTTACCTTCCTGGATCAGAAAGACTGGCAGAACAAGGTAAGTTAAAACTATAGTGACCAGGCAGCCTTGCCCAGAGAAGATGGATTGGAAATAAAGATGAGGCATCTCTTGAATGAATGTGTGTGGGGGGGGCTTATAAAGTTGGATTGATGGGTAACTTTTTTTTTAATATTAATTTATTTTTAGTTTTCAACATTCACTTCTATAAGCTTTTGAGTTTTAAATTTTTCTCCCCTCCCTCCCCACCCTCCTCCCCAAGACAGCTGATATAGGCTTTTCATATGCATTCCTATTAAACATATTTTCCCATTAGTCATATTGTAAAGAAGAATTAGAACCAACAGGAGGAACCACAAGAAAGAGGACACAAAACAAAACAGCAGTGGGGAAAAAAATAAAAGAGCAAATAGTATGCTTTGATCTGCATTCAAACTCCATAGTTCTTTCTTTGGATGTGGATAACATTTTCCATCATAAGTCTTTTGGAATTGTCTCAGATCCTTGCATTGCTGAGAAGAGCTAAGTCTGTCAAAGTCAGTCATTGCACAGTGTGGCTGTTACTATGTACAGTGTTCTTCTGGTTCTGCTCATTTCACTCGGCATCAGTCCATCCAAGTCTTTCCAGGTTTTTCTGAAGTCCACTCGCTCATCATTTCTTATAGCACAACAGTATTCCATGACATTCACATACCACAACTTGTTCAGCCATTCCCCAGATGATGGGCATCCCCTCAATTTCCAATTCTTTGCCACCACAGAAAGAGCTGCTATAAATATTTTTGTACATGTGGGTCTTTTCCCCATTTGTATGATCTCTTTGGGATATAGCCCTAGAAGTGCTATTGCTGGGCCCTTCAGGTATAGCTGATGGGTAACTTTTCAAGGACATTTACACGACCTTACCCTCTTCCCTGCAAAAGAAACCTAGGTGGTAGGATGGGATATAGATTAGCTCCCTGGAGGACCAAGGCTTCAGACTTATTCAGAATGACTAGAGCTCTTTGAAAGGCAGGATGGGAGGGGCAGCTAGGTGGTACAGCAGATAGTGCACCGGCCCTGGAGTCAGAAGGACTTGAGTTCAAATCTGGCCTCAGACCAAACACTTGACACTTACTTAGCTGTGTGACCCTGGGCAAGTCACTTAACCCCACTGCCTAAACAAGGGGGGAAAAAAAAAAGGAAGTCAGAATGGGAACAGGAAATAAATTCTTTTGAGAGAGAGGTGGATAAAAGAAGCTACAAAGCCTCCAAAACATGTTTAAAGGGTCAGAGGGAAATGAAGGGGGTGGAAAGAGTCTGTCTTCTTCAGTTACTGAGGAGAATGAGGCCTTACCTACCTTTCCATCAATCCAGTCAACCACAGGTATTTTTTAGTCAACCAATCAATCAATACTTTTTAAATGCCTATCATGTTCTAGGTGCTGGAGGTACAAAGACAAAAGAACTGAAAAGTACTTACTATGTACCAGACCCAGTCTCTGTCCTCCAGAATCCTATATTCTGTCAGGGAAAACAAGATGTACACATATAAGGCAATACAAAAGGCATATAAAGTAATTGGGGGTAGGGCAAGGGTTTGGGTAAGTGAAGGGATGGTGGAGGAGGTTCTTCAAAAGAATCAAAATGGCAGACACCCCAAAGAGAATCCTAACAGAGCTAACATTTGTCTAGTACTTTCAGGTTTGCAAAAGGTTTTGCATACACATTATTATCTCCTTTGATCCTTACAACTCTCGAAGGTAGGTATGATAATGGCTATTATTCCTATTGCCCAGATAAAGAAACTGAGCTCAGCAAGGTTAAATGATTTGCCCTGGCTCACACAGCTAGTAAGTGACCACAGTAACCTAGGATTTGACACACCCAAAGATCCAAGCTTTCGGGGGGAAGAACTCACCATTCGACAAAAATTGCTGAGAAAACTGGAAAGCAGTTTGGCAGAAACTAGGCACCAAACAACATTTCACACCATATACCAAGATAAGATCTAAATGGATAAAGGATTTAGACATAAAGGATGATATCACGAATCGGGGGAGCATTCACTTCTCTCCCTTTTGCCCCCATTAAATTGCTCAGATTCTTAACATCTGGCCAGCTTATCAATACAAACGCACAGGCTCTTAAAATCCCTCACTTCTATTGGCAAAACAATAAACCTTGTCTCTGACTGAAAGAAGGCTTGAGTGGTTGGAGTCTGTGGAGGCAAGACTCTCACCTTTTGCCCTTGAATTTTGGGGTTCCCAGCACCCTCTAGACCTTAATAGTTTCAAGGCATCCCCAGCATGTGCTGCTTACTTTTTTTTTTTTTAGGCAATTGGAGTTAAGTGACTTGCCCAGGGTCACACACCTAGTTAAGTGTCAAATGCCTGGTCTGAGACCACATTTGAACTCAGGTCCTCCTGACTCCAGGGCCTATGCTCTATCCACTGCACCAACCTAGCTGCCCCTCAGTGTTCACTTTTATACAACTTTGAGTTCTAAAATTCCTCCCCTCAAGAGGGCATGCAATCTGATATAGACTATACATGTACAATCATATTAAACATATTTCCACGTTAGTCATGTTGTGAAAGAAGAATCAGAACAAAAGGGAAAAACCACAAGAATGAAAAAAAGAAAATAGTACGCTTCGATCTGCATTCAGACCCCACAGTTCTTTTTTTCCTTGATAATTACTTTATTTTTATTTTTCAACAGTCACTTCCATAAGATTTTGAGTTCTAAATTTTCTTCCCCTCTCTCCTCCCCCCTCCCCAAGACAATGCGTACTCTGATAGAGGCTCTACATATATTCATGTTAAGCATATTGTAAAGAACAATTAGAACTAATGGGAGGAACCTGGAGAATGAAGCAATAAAACAAAACAACAAAGGAAAAGGAGAGCAAATAAAAGAGAAAATAGTACGCTTACATCTGCATTCAGACCCCATAGCTGTTTCTCTGGATGTGGATAGCACAGAAAAGGCATCTCTTGAAGGGTGAGGGGGGGAGGGGGACATATTAAAGTCGGATTGACGGGACCACTTTTCAAGGATGTGTCCATTACTTGGGGCAGTCAATCAATAAACATTTATGAAGGGCCTTCTATGTGCCAGGCACTGTGCTAAGTTGCTGCCCTCAAGTAGCTTACAATCTAAGGGGAGCGTATAAACGAGGTCTATACAGGATCAGCAGGAAATGATGGACAGAGGAAGGCCCTGGAATGAAGAGGCCTTGGGGAAGGCTTCTTGTAGAAGGTGGGGTTTTAGTTGGGGCCGGAAGGAAGTCAGGGAATTTCCCTGCTCTCTCCAAAAGACACTTGGGAGGTGGGGCAGAGGGAAGGTGCCCATCTCCAGCCGGGTTGGACTTCTCTCCCCGACTCCAATGACATCACCGGCTTGGTCCAAAACAAACAAGCCAGGGGTGGCTAGGTGGCGCAGTGAATAGAGCTCTGGCCTTGGAGTCAGGAGGACTCGAGTTCAGATCCAAACACTTAACACTTACTAGCTGTGTGACCCTGGGCAAGTCACTTAACCCTGATTGCCTCACACACACAAAAAAGCAAAACCAAAATAAAAACAAGCCAAACCTGTTGGGCCCAGAGCCGGTAGCCAGAGGAAGGTCTCCAGTGGGAAGGCATGGATGGGAAAGCATTGTCCAGAAAGAGGGACAAGCTTCTATTAAGCACCTACTGTGTGCCAGCCATGTCACCAAGTGCTTTACAAATGTCTCATTTGAGCCTTGCAACCACCCTGGGACAGTACCCGGCACACAGCAGGTGCTTAATGCATGCTTCTTTTCTTCCCTTTCCCACCTATTTCAGTCGATCCTCCAAACAATCCTCCGGGGTGGGCGCCGTTAGCAGCCTCACTTCCCAGAGCAGGGAGCGAGTCGAGCGTCTTCTACACGAGCCGCACAGCCAGTGAGCGGGCTTGTTTTTCAGAGCTCGTCATGTAACTGATTTATTGGCCACGAACAGCCGTCTTCTTCTACCGAGAACGTGAAATCCACAACGTCTCTAGCAACCCACGCTTTTTAAAAGCCGGGGATGAAAGGACAAAGAAACACCACACAGCAAACGGCTAGCGACTTTGAACCTGGGTTTCTCTCTCAACCGTCTTTGGCACTCGGCTGCCCGGGAAGAGCCCCGGCCTTGGCCTGTCAAGACTCCACTCACTTACCACGGCGCTCTGTGGCACCCTTCCGTCTCAGTTTCCTCATCTGTAAAATGGGCATAATCACAGCGCCGCCTTTCCAGGGTTGTAGTGAGGCTCAAACGGGTTGCTCTTTGGCAAGCGCTTAACTTAGCACAGTGCTTACACGTAGTAGGCGCTGCATTGTGTATTGTGTTTATTCTCTTCCCTTTGAGGCAGGGCATATAGTAGGCGCTTAAATAAATGCTTTAAACGCGATGAACGTTTCCTTCCGTGTAGAAAAGGGAGGGCAGGCACAGATCGCGCGCCCACTGCGCCGGGGCTGAGACTCGGCAGGAGGCCCCGCCCTCGGCTGCACCCAGTCGTCGGTCATTGGACAGAGCGCCCCTAGGCCCCGCCCCCGACTCCCCGCCCCCTCCGCGGCTTCGCGCGACCGAAGAGTCTTGTTTCCGCCCGGCCGCCGTCGGGGCCAGCCGGGGTCGAAGGTCACGGCGGCGTGGTTACCCGGAAACTGCCGTGGCCCAGAGACGGAGCCGGAGCCGGAGCCGCGGCCGGAGCTGCGGCGTCTGGGACGGAGGCGGCGGCCGCGGCCTGGGCCTGTCAGCGTCCCGGGGTCCCGGAGCGAAGCGGGGAGCGACAGCCAGGAACGGGCCGGGGGAAGAATGGTGCAGAGCGGCCCGGCGCCCGCGCCCGCCCCGCTGCCGCCGCCGCTGCTGCTGCGTGAGAGCGCGGCCCGTTAGCGGAGCCTCCCGCCCGGCCCGGCCTGGCCTGACCCGGCCCGGCGGCGCAGGGTGAGCGGCCAGGGCCCGGTAGCGGGGGCGGCGGGGGGCGGGGCGCTGTGGGAGATCGTTCCCTCCCCCACACGCGGGGGGAGGGCCGGGGGCGGCCGCGTGTCCGCCTTCCAGAGCAGGAGGACCCCAGCCCCTCCCCACCCCCCTGCTCTCACCCTGGGGAAACCGAGGCCTGCCCTCCCCAGTCGGGTCCGGCCTCCCTACCCTCCCGGTATGTAGAGCAACCGAGTGACATTTCTCGGAGGGGCACGAGGTGCCCCTCGGCCCCCCGCCTTGGGGGGCCCCTTGTTTTACTTGGCATCGCCACCAGAATCTCGGGGTGCCCGAACGCCAGCCCGCTCGTTGCCAGCTAAGAGCAAAGAGGCGAGGAGGGGGTCGGCGGGGCCGGGGTCCGGAGGGTTTCTGGGTCTGGGCCTTTGCTTCCCCTCTTGAGAGTTCACTGACCGCGTTGCAGACCCGAGGCCAGGGAGGGACTGAGGATCTGGGTGCAGAAGACAAGCCCTAGTTTGGGGAGGGGGGCTGCCCGCATGAGGAAGGGGCGAGGCTTCATCACCCTCCCCCGGCTTCTTATTTGTGATAACGTCTGCAGAGGCTCGAAGGTAGCCCCTCCCTCTGCCTCTGGATTCGGTAACGAAAACTTTTTATGAAGCTGGTGTCAGCCCGAGGACGGCTGGTGAAGGGAGGTCCGGGTCACCGCTGGCGGTGGACAGAATGCCCTTCCCATCTTGTGGCCCAAGGAGGGGTCGGCTACTGTCCAGCTGCAGCCGGCCGCCTGCATCTCACACTTGGTGTTGGTTTTGGACCTCCTTTGCAGACACCTTCAGCAGGGAAGATCACACGTTCCTCTTGAGAGACGTAACCCTCTGGACCTGGTCACTACTTTTGTTTCAAAGGTGAGCCCCGTGGTCGTGTGGGAAAGAAAGCTTCCGTCAGGTGCCCCGGACTTGGCTAGCGGAGTGGCTGCGGCTCCAGCTCTTTTTCCTCCCCAGTTTTCTCTCTGACATAAGGGAGAATAGTAGTAAAAACTTTTGAGACTACACATTTGCCCTCCATGAGAAGAGCTGCTCTTTTTTCAACAGACTGTGTTGTAGGTGGTCAGTGTGCACCTGGTTCCCCCCCAGCCTTTCCTGAGGATGGAGAATGGATGCTCTCCAGGGCCGGATCCTGAGCTCAGAGGCTGCAGGTGGAGGGGCCCTTGTGCTCTATGCCTTTCTGTAGAATGGTGAGACCGTTCCTTTCAAAACAGTGCTGTGCGTTGGGTACACTTCACTTGACAAATGTCAGCTTATTAGTTGGGGTTCGGGCTAGTGCCTGTGAAGCAGCACATGGTGGAAAGCAGTGCTTAGCTGGTTTTAAGGATGATGAAAAAGGAAGCAAATTGCTGCCCTCTCTTCTAATGATCAGAAAGCTTAATTTGGTCCCTGGGGGTGTCAGCTGCAGCATTTGGGGTTGGGTCGAGGGAGTGAAAGGAGGGCCGTCTTTGGAGAGCTGAAAAGTTCTTCATCATCTGCAGCACAGTAATGTCGCTTACCTCATGTGCTGTTCGTCTGAACTGGTGTTCTTGGAGGTGCTTTGAAATAGAGAGCGCCCTGGAATCGTTGGTGATTACAGTAATGGCTGATCCTGGGAACAGTCTGTTTCTAGGCTCTGCTGGCTTTTCAGTGCCCTGCCCTTTTGTTCCTTTTTTCTGTTATTTTTCAGTGCTGTACTCAGGAACATGGGCAAACGGAACCCAGAGCTCCTTTGCCACATCCTGTTTCCTTCACCAATTTTTGCTTGTGCTTCAGTCTGGGTGACAATCAGGGTCTCAAACAGTCTTACGATTCTCATGAAAAAGTTTTGAGGAGATGCTGTGGAATCGGCACTGTGGGCAGCGTCTTTTAATAGGTTACATTTAATGACCTAAGCTGACATTCTCTCAAATGCCTTTATGAAGTCACTCATTAAATAAGCAGCAGCATTCTTTGAGCATTTTTATCCCTTTAAAAAGAAGGGAATTTGGCCAGCTTTAGGTACCTGAGGCCCTAGACACTTGTGTGGTCGCCAGATTTGACATTTCTTTATAGTGACTCTTCAGGGCAAGATGTAACCTTTCAATTTGCATTCTGTTCCCAGGCATCTCTTCTGAGGTTCATGCACACATGATTAAGCAATGGGTCGCTAGTCTTTAATAACAGTGCAACCTTTTCCACATTATGTACCTACCATGTTAGGAGACAAATCACACTTTGAAAAAATGTGGTCCTTTAACTTGCAAGGCAGAAGCTCATTGCCACGTTTGCTGACCTTTCTCGGCCTGTAGTCCTGCTTAGAGGCAGCAGCTCCTCCTGCTAAATTCCAGAACGTTCGAGGCTCTTCTTACTGCCTGTGGTTTAAATCTTGGGACTTTACAGCCCTGGCAGCACTTGTAGGTAGCCCTGCTGCAGGCACCAGAAGTAATCTATGGGGTCATGGGATGAAAAGATAGATGGAAGGGAAACCCAAAGTCATCTGCAATCCCCTGACTCTGTAGATGGCTTCCCAGGGCAGGCTTCTGACCAGGACTTGTGACTCCCAGCTGTGCCCTCTCTGAATGGTCGCCTCACCTTTGTGGACGACCTCAGGCATCCTTGAGGCCGAGGAAACCTGGACGTGAGGTTACCGAGGGAGGAGGCAGGGGCGGAGCCAGTGTCCTCCAAATCCAGAGTGTGTGTGTGTGTGTGTTTGTGTGTGTGTATGTATGTGTACGCACTCGAGTGCCACTGTCCTCTGCTTCCTCCCCAGGTGGCACAAGGCCAGGGTTGTGCTGCACCCAGCCAATAAGATGTTAGGGACCAAAAGGTCCTCTAGGCCAACTCCCTCATTTTTTATAAATGAGGAAACTGAGGCCAGAGAAGGGAGGTGACTTCCTCCTCCCCAGGCTAAATAAATGCTTGTTGGATGAATCAGTGGGTGGTTACTGACCCTCTAGCTGCTAACATCGTTTTGTATCCCTAGGGGTGGTAACGTTTTATCCTCTTCCCTCCCTCCTTCCCTCCTTCCCACTGGGGCCAAGCTGAAGTGGTCCAGTGAGTCCATGTTACAGCCAGCCACACCTGTTAAGTGGGGGGTTGAGCGTTTCCCAGCTCTGATGTTCAGTGCAGATCATGGAGTTTGGGCACAGAGAGTCCTTGCCCTTAGAAGGTAATGCCAGTTCCCACTTGGGCCAGGCACTCGGACCGGCACTAGCCGAGCACGATGAAGTGTAAGCTCCCTGAAGGCAGGCTCTATTTTCCACCTCTGTTGTAGCCTAGGGCCTGGCACAGCAAGCACCGAGTAGGTGCTTAATAATGCCTGTTGGACTGGACTGACTAGTAGCACCCGGGGAAGGTGTGCTCACTCTGCCTAGAACTGCCACCCAGGGCAGAGAAGTCACCATGTCTGTCTTTGGAGTGGATCAGGTTACAAATCCGCCTTGTTCTTCTGCGTGTGGGTGTGGGTGTGAGGTTTGGTTTTGTTTATTTGTTTTTATCCCCAGCATTGCTTTTAGGTGGGGTTTTGGTTGAGATTTTTTGTTTTGGGGAGCATTTGGCTTTTCCATTCTCTTGGGGCAGCATCACAAAGAGTTGTCTTCCCTCCCTCCTTTTTTCCATTTGCTCCAGCCTGGGTGGCAGGGCCAGCTCTGTGTTCAGATGGCATGTAGGGCACTCCTCTGTGAAGATCCCCTTGGCCTCCTCTTCTGGGCCTGCAGAGTGATCTGTTCTCTTTTCCAAGTGTTCTTGGGCTTCCTCACCTTCAGCTGATGGGCTGGAGCTACAGAACAGGTGGAATTGTTTGGGGGTGACCTGCCCTGTTTGATTGACGTGAAGTGCTCTGGTTATTTCAGTAGTGCGCCACCAAGTTGGGTGGGGAAGGTGTTTCTTCTTTCTGTTGGCATTTTTATTGCCTTCACAGGATAGTGACATCATGAACTTTGCAACCAATTTTTTTCCTTGTTTTTTTTTGTCCTTGAGACACTTGAAGATTGGGCCATTGGCTAAAGCAGCAATTTATTTTTCAAACCTTCCACAAGCACCCTAAAATATTGTTAAGTTGCTGAATAATTCAAGAAGTAAGGGCTGGGGATATTCAGGACAAGAGGCTTGTTTAAAATTTCTTGAGATTCCCCCCCCCCAAGTTTTAAATCTACTAATGTTCAGTTTTGATGCCTCACCAGTGCAATTAATTCCACTGGAGCTGCTCCATTTTCATCTCTTTTTAAGGTGTGTGTTAAACGTGCTTATGAGTGAGCTTTGCAGAACTGATTTACCCTAAGGGTGGAGAAATCTCCTTTGAGCTGAATGGCGGTTTTGTAACAGCTTATAGTCATCAGAGCTGCCTAGATCATAAAGGGGCCGGAGGGCATCCAGGACCCATTGAGACCCTGATTCTGGCCTCTGCTCTGTTGATGAGTAACCAGATGGCAAGTGACCTTGGACAAGTCATTTGCCTCTTCCTCTTTTGTTCTCTGTAATATAAGGATGTTGGACTAGGTTACCTCTAATCTAAAGCCTTTTCCAGCTTTACCATTCTGTGATTCTAAATGAAAAATGCTTGGGAAGAGGCTTGCAAGAGATATTATTGTTCAGTTGTTTTCCATTGTGTCTGACTGTTTGTGACCTCATTTTGGGGTTTTCTTGGCAAAGATCCTGGAGCCGTTCGCCATTTCCTTCTCCAGCACAATTGACGGATGAGGAAACTGAGGCAAACAGGGTAAAGTGACTTGCCCAGGGTCACACAGCCAGTAAGTGTCTGAGGCCAATCTGAATTCAGGTCTTCCTGACTCCAGGCCCAGAGTTCTGTCTGTTGTTCCGCCGAGCTGCCCCAATTACGCCTGCTAGTGGAGAGGCAGCCTAGTAAAGTAGGAAAATACTATGGCCTGGGGAGCCAGAACACCTGATTTCAAGGCTCTGCTCTAACACTTTCTTGGATGAATCACTTCTCTGAGTCTCAGTCTTGTCATTTGCAAAATGGGGATAATCATCTATGTATTACTTAACTCGCAGGTTTATTTTGTCACCTGTATTTGTTGTTGTTTGTTCAGTTATTTCAGTTATGTCTGACTCTTCATGACCCCATTTGAGATCTTCTTGGAAAAGATCCTGGAGTGGTTCGCCATGTCCTTCTCCAGCTCATTTTACAGAGGAGGAAACTGAGGCAAAAGGGTAAAGTGACTTGCTCAGGGTCACACAGCCAGTAAGTAACTGAGACCAGAGTTGAACTCAAAAAGAGGAGTCTTCCTGACTCCAAGCCCAGCGCTCTATCCACTGCACCACCTAGCTGCCTGTGGGAGATGAGTTCCTCTATAATTCAGTTCAACACACATTCAGTAAACAAGCTGGGATTAGTCAGGAGAGCCATTAAATCCAGAGAGCTCTTTTAAAATGCCTGGTTTTCTATTTGAAGCTGGGCCCCGGGTTGAATGCTAGCCGAGACGCTTGCTGTTAGAGCAGTTAGGCTTCATATCACTTGTTAGATTTAATTTAGGAATATTGGACATGACACCCTGCGGAGGGACCTTATCCTTCCATTAATACCCTTTCTTTAGCATTTTTGGATTCTTCCTCAGCTCTCTTCTGTTTTTTTTACATTCTCGAGTCTTCCCTGCCTTGTTAGTGTCTCCATTTACCCATCTCAGCACAGTGTTGCTCCCCTCCCCTCTGCTGTCACATTTTTCTGCCTTCATTTCCTTGCCATACATTCCAGGCTTTTTAACTCCTGGGTCCTGTTTCTGTCTCAGCATTAGAAGTGCCTGTTGGAAGGTACCAGTGCCTTCCTACTGGCCATCCTCAGAGACCTTCTTTTGGTGGTCATCTTTCTTAACCTCTTAGCAGCATCTGACCACTGTCTTCTGGAAGCCCTCTTCCCTTTCCTCTGGTGACCTCCTCTCACAGGT